CGAACGTCTCACTGCACCCCTCCCCCTGAATTCGTTCATGGATCAATAATATGCAGCAGAGAAGCCGCTGAAGACTCAAGAAAAAAGCAAAAATTCGACTCCCTTCTGAACGGCTCTGCGGAGGCATGCGAAAAGTAAAAATCCACTGTTAAGCAAAAAAGATGGACCCTGTAATCGGCATTTGTGGACTTAAAGAACGGATGGATGGAGGAATCTTCGCGGAAATCACACTTTGAACGATCAACCGAAGGATGGTAAACCAAACGATCCGGGCTAAGATGCTCAACAACCCAGTGCGCTGTCCTGCAGAGATTCATATCAACAAACCGCGCAAATCAACAGCAAATTTTACACTTTATACAGAAAACCGAATATGCAAAAAACTGAACTTTTGAGGAGCTTTGAGCTATCAGCTCTAACAGCCTTAATAATTAAACAACTAATTTAAATTTGATTTATACCAGTTATAATTACCACAATCGTTGTACTGACGAGGTCCAATTGTAGTAATGGTAAGAAATGTATACAACTTAATGGACCGAAACATTTCTTACCATTATAATGATTTTATTAAAATAATTTCACTAATTTTACTGATTTCTTAATTTTTATTTTGGTACTCCCTTTTCGATTCTCCTTATTATTTCAATATACGTTTCTATTGAAAGCGCATAGCCCTTCTGGCTTGCGCCTCTCCTGCATTTGATAGCTGATAAATATAAAAAAACATAACAGCACACAATGTCTTGCAAAGTCCTAGCTTCCTAACTTTTTTGTCTCCCAAAATCGCTTTCTCGCCAAAAAACTTGCATAAACTTTTTGGAAAGTTCGTACGTGAGACGTAGGCATACAAGAACAATGATTTCAGAGATGGAGCATCGCATATGAGGTGAAAATACGGCCCAAAAACTCCAGCTTCCTAACTTCACAGTTTGCCGAGTTGGAAGTGGATAACAAAATGTGAACGCACACACACACACATGCAGACAGCTCTTTGTTAACAAATGTGCAAGAACGCATAATGGGTTATTGC